GTTTTGATGGTTTTAGTGTTTTAGAGGAAAACACTGCTCCAGGAATTATTTTTTATTATTTACTGAAGACTTAATGAAATTATTCAAGTTTTTATGCACAGGTTTCCAAACTATGTCCGCAGCGCCCCCTTTGGTAGAGTTCGATATTGTAGACGCCCCTGCTTTGTTGACCCATTCACAGCCTCCGTCTAAAACTCCACTGAACTTCAATTAAACACTGTAATACATAAAAATAATACTTTCGTTAAGCAGGTACCTCCCCCGCCCCCTACGTTGAGAACCTTCACCAACAGTAACTTTAAAATCACAGGTCCAGATGTTTATGTGTAAATCATTATTACTAACATATTTCTATGCAAATAACCATTACTGCACAGTACAATATATATTTTTGTCTAAAAATATTATTGCCTATGTATTTAGGTCTGTTACTATTGCTTATATATATATATATATTGAAGTTACTATGAATTCATATACTTATGCATACATTACTTTTTACTTTTACTGTATATTAATATTATTGCCTATGTATTTATGTCTGTTACTATTGTTTATATATATGTATTTTGAAGTTACTATTAGTTCATATATCTATGCATATATTATTTTTACTTATATATTCATGTTGAAATTACTTAATTCATATATTTATATTTATGCATATATAAATATTTTTTGGTAATATATTGATGTCTAAATTAACACTGCATATATATATTTATGTTGAAAGGACTATTGCTTGTATTTTGATGTCATAATATATTGCCGATATATTTCTGTCTAAATATATTTCTGACCAAGTTGTTTTTGCTCGTCGGGCCTTTGAAGAACACGCCTCTACTCCGTCCTCAGTGAAGTTCGCCGTCATGTGTGGCGAGGAGATAAAAGCTTCAAGGAGAACTTTGTGTCACTCTTTTTTTTTTTTTCCTCGTACCTCATTTCATCCACCCTATCGCGGCAGAGGGGGGGGGCGGGTCCGAGCCGCTCTAATTCAAAGAGTGACATAAACGCCGCAGTCACATCCGAGGCCCGGCTCGACCTTCAGAACGTGTCAGACACTCATCACCACGCCATCGTAAATCTGGCCTGCGTGAGTATTTTATTTTTTTACCGCCTCGACCGCAGTATGTTTGCATAGGGACAACGGCGTAACGGCGGTTTATTGGCCGTCACGGCGGTCAGGCCGCGAGGACCTGACATTAATCTTGAGAACATCTTCTCAGGGCGTGCGACACTGTTTGGACTGTAATTAGAGCAGAAACAGTTCTCAGTGCCAGTCCCTGGAACCAACACAGTCAGACGCCTGATTGGCTGCATCACAGAGTTAAAACAAGAATATGGGAGCTACTAGTGTTCAACAGAGGTATTACACAAAATGTAGTAAGATTTGATAACGATTATGACAATGATGTTAAATATTTAAATGTCTACGGTTATAAAAAAAAACAGTAAATGTTACTGCACTTGTCATCAAACAGTGTCGCATTTCTTAAAAAAAAAAAAACAGCAACAGCCCAACAATGATGTGGGGGGCCCAGGCCACAGTGACAGAATCAATGACCGACTTTATTTAAAGAGAATTCAGTCGTTTCCATTTTCTTCCTTTATTTAAGGATAATCCGACATTTTTCAAAATAAAGTGTCTTTCAGATTCTGATGATAATCAGAACAAAGTCTAAAAGATATTTTATTTTGAAAATCTACAGATCCTAAACAACGGTCGTTGTGGCGCTACCAGGCCGTGGTTCTGGCCAGGACCGGAAAACGAAATTTCATTTCATCAGATAAGCCGTCGCCTCTGCTCTCCTCACAGATCACGTCTGGAGAAGCTTATCTGGTTCACACCAAACGGCTCCACTCCAACTCCCACTTTAACCAGTACCTGTCCGCTCTCTACAAAGTGGTAGGCACCTACCTGTTTGGAGCGGCTGTCAGTCAGTCCCTGACCGACCTGGCCAAGTTCACCATCGGTCGTCCACGCCCGAACTTTTTAGCCGTGTGCAAACCAGACAGCTGTAATGGTTACATGTTAAATATCAGCTGTACGGGGAATCCTCGCGACGTGACGGAATCCAGGTGAGCGCTCACATTCAGACGAATACGTTGTGTTTTTGAAGAACTGTTAACAGCGAGTTTACTTCAGTTTTTAAGGTATGGTATGTTAGCTATAAGCTGAGCTTTAGCTGGCTGAAAAAATGTGTTTGAGTAAAGGTCTGCTATATAGACACTGTTAGCTTAGCCTAGCTTAAATGGATGGCTTTTCTGAATGGGTTAATTGCACAGATGAATTCAGTTGAAAAACTTCACTCTCTACCAATGTGTGAATGAATGTTCCACTGTATCTCCCCAGGCTGTCCTTCTACTCCGGCCACTCGTCATTCGGGATGTACTGTATGCTCTTTTTGGCGGTGAGTGTCCTACATTTGGTTGTAAAAAATGAGTGTTTACAGAGAACACCTACAAGTGACTGAAAACAGAAGAAGGTGGCGGTCGACGTGGACACGAAACTCAAGTTTCAAAAACGTCATTGTTTTAACGAT